AAAACTACTACAACTACTACGAACTACTACTAAACTTACTACTACTACTACTACTACTACTACTACCCTACTACTACTACTACTACTACTACTACTACTACTACTACTACTACTACTACTACTACTACTACTACTACTACTACTACTACTACTACTACTACTACTACTACTACTACTACTACTACTACTACTACTACGACTACTACGACTACTACGACTACTACTGCTACTACTACTGCTACTACTACTACTACTACTACTACTACTACTACTCCTGCTCCATCTCCTCCGCTTCCTCCTTCTCCTCCTCCTCTTCCTCCCCCTCCACCACCTCCTCCTTCTCCTCCTCCTTCTCCTCCTTGTCCTCCTCCTCCTCTTCTGCCCCACTCGTCTTCCTCCTCCTCCTCCTCTCCCCCTCCTCCTCCATCCTCTTGCCTCATTGATAACTCTCCCCTGTCGCACCCCCAGACGTGTGCGCAGCGCGAGCTGGGCGTTTCGCATGTGACGTCCTCACCATTGATGATCCCAATGTCGAGGATTGAAAGCGGTTGGTTTTGAAATCAGGCTCTCATTCTTTTAAAACTTGGAACATATTCGAAGATACGGGGCGACCCGGTTCCAAAATTTGGCTCTCGCCTTAGCGCCGAGCACATTCGTCATTCGCGTTTGTTGATTCGCGCTGTTCAAGTCCCACGATTGGTGTTATGGCACGACTTCGGATTTCCAGCACGCACGAATCACGTTAATTCGCGAAATGCAGCCCCAGGAATTGTGGTTTGGCATGTTTGAGGATTATCAGCCAGTTGTCTTCCAATGGGGCACTTCCCGCAATCAAAATAATTTGTTGTAGGGACCCGTGAAAAGGAACCTTGGAAGGGTTTATTGCAGCATCGTTGGTGCGTCTTGGGTTTACACTGGTCCTCCTTCCTCATCCTCCCTCACTCGTCAACTTCTTCCTCCTCCTCCTCCTCCTCGTCCTCCTCCCCCTCCCCCCACTCGCCCGCCCCATCCCCTCTACTAGAGGGAGGTGGCCCCATCACTGCCAGCACCACCACCACGACGGTGGCGGCGGCAACGGCGACGGCGGCGGCGGCAGCAGATATCCAGGATCTTCGGCGCTGCCGCGCCGCCACGACCGCCTTGCCAGCGGCGGTGTCAACGATCTGCAGGCCCCAAACTAGAGGCCTCCAACATGGGGTCGGAGTATAACGGGTCGGAGGATAGCCCCGCATCGCCAATGCGTCGGCGATGCATTGGCGATGCATCGACGACGCCAGCGTGGAGAACATCGGGCTCCACATTGAGCCGCATCGCCGATGCATCGGCGATGCGGCGCGATCCTCTGACCCCATCTACTCGACCCCATCTGGGAGGCCTAGACAAACGATCTGGGCCCCCTTCAGCGGTGTTCGAGGTTCGTGGTTCCAGTGAGGGGCAACGATAGGGGGGGGCTGGCATAGGTGGGGATGCATCGGCCTGGAATCGGCGATGCATCGCCGATAGATCGCCAATAGGCCCCCGACAGCGAATCCGACACTTCCTGGGCGGGGTGGGGCTATCAGAACCCTATCGGCGATCGATGGCCTGATCCAGGCTTCCTGACATGTCCGTCTGTTCTCGGCGGTGCTCCAGCCTCGGGAAGCGCCGGCCCGCCGCTGCGCCTCGCCGAGAGCGCTCTAAGAGGGTGCCTGGGCAACTTCCCGCACGGCCGCCCGGGACCCTCCTCCTCCTCCTCCTCCTCCTCCTCCTCCTCCTCCTCCTCCTCCTCCTCCTCTCCTCCTCCTCCTCCTCCTCCTCCTCCTCCTCCCTCCTCCTCCTCCTCCTCCCCTCCTGCTCCTCCTCCTCCCCCTCCTCCTCCTCCTCCGCCTCCTCCGCCTCCTCCTCCTCCTCCTCCTCCTCCTCCTCCTCCTCCTCCCCCTCCTCCT